TATTCCAGATATTGAAGAATACTGAGGTAGTCACTGTTTTTTTTTCCTGCTGGATCGATGTTACTGGACACATGCCATCCAGAATCTGTTTGCTGATTGATTTTACATGAGACCTTTTTTCTGAATCAATCAGTTTACCAACTAGTGGCTGTGAATGGTGTCTGTCCACTGCTGTTGAACTGTGTGTTACACGGTTACAGTGGACAGATATTAAAGCCTTGTCCACTCTGAATTTTTCCCTTTAAAAAAGGGTCCTCGAGAGTTTTGGGTTTTAAAATATCTTAGTCCAGAGGAGCATATTGGTGGCTACATCAAGTCTACATCATTGATCCAACGAATACTAGAGAAAAACACTATGGTTACAAGTAGAAATGGCTGAGACAGAAGTGTGAAAGCTGCATATGTGGTGCAGTGATTCTGTATTTAGCTGCAAACTTGTGATTACACCTAGCAGCGCTAACCAAACGTAGAGAAACCCGTGCACTTGGCACATGCTCATTAAACAAAGCAACAGTGGGCATGTGCAAAGCAGCTGTGATGTCATTCGAATGTTTCAGTTGAGTTATATCATATTATATCATAATTTTCATTTCCAGTTTCAGTTATATACAATGAAATTCTGACTATAGTCATATTTCATGTTCATGATATCTACAACATCAATCCTAAATTAAGTTCAAACTTAATTTAAGGTAGCTTGGATTTAGGTTACTTTAAGACATCTTGCAGTTATGACTCGTCAGAATTAAATTGCTGGTAAGTGAAAATGGAATAATTCAATAGAAGATATTTGTAATAAATATAGAGTAGGTTAATTTAAAAAAAAAACGGCTGGAAAGAGTAAAATGTATGTTTGTGTGTTTTTATCCAATTATTAATTGATTACTTGAAAAATAATCAACAGATGAATCAGTATCTAAATAATAGTTAGTTGCAGCATATGATTAGTGAGGGATTTTGGACACACTCCTGTTCCCTGGTCCAACCGTAAAACTCAAGTGAGCCTTTCTTTCATGTTGGATTTGTCCTACGTTATCGTCACCCACTGTCCAGCAGATGTTTATCTGTAAAGATCCTACTGGAAGGAAAAACAATCTTCTTGGAGATTGGACTGTCCATCCTTCCTCTCATAAAAGAGAAATGGGTTTGAAGGAGGGAGGTGAAAATAAAAATGATTAACAGACAGAGATTAGGAGAGTGAAAATGAAAAAAATAAAAATATATATATGATCCGACCTCAGGATTCTCTAATGTTAAAAACACCTTTCTGCTTATTTATCTGCCTCTGAACCCCAATAAATAGATAAATAAATAACCAGCACAGCGTGCCCCCTAATAAAAGAAATGTGAAAACTGAAAGGGGGCAGGACAGAGAAATCAAATGTTTTAGTGATTCCAGTTTGGCCCCAGTGATCCTCTGCACTCTGTCTAATATTGAAGAATGTCCCAGATTAGAAAAATGACAGCAGCTAACTGACCAGCTGCACTAACCCCTCCCCTCTGCCGTCACAGCCAATGAGGCAGCGTAGATTAATGACCCTTCAGATCCTCGGCCAATCACCAAACTCACCTCTCATCTCCAGCAAAGGATGCCCTTGAGCAAACTCGCACTGAGAGGGGATACATGCGCACACACACTTTGCATGCACAAACACACAAACAGCTACACACTCACCACTTAATTCAGCCTCCTCTGAGGGCAGTGGGCCGCTCAGTGCCGATGTTTATGGTTTCTCTGAACCTGCAAATCACCACGGTTACAGCTGGGCGGATTTATGACTGTGGTTCTGTCTACCAGCCCGTAGACAAACCATGGATCATCCGCACACACTCGCACAGTTACACGCACACATGCACTTCCTATTGGAGATGATACACAATCCCAGACAGCGTAAAGGCCTTTTGTTGTAGTTTGTGGCTGACAGTCGTATGCAAAGTGACCAATCTGTGTATGTGTGTGTCAGAGCAGATGCAGGGTTGATAGCAGGTGTTCTCAACTCTCAACTCTGGATATTCTCCTGAAATTTTCTGGAGGGGCTGCATGTGACAACGCAAATGTCCTAGTTGTTTTTCTCTGCCAGCGCCCTCGTGAAATGTCCACAAAATGTGTGAGAATACAATAGAATATCATCCGGAGGAATCACCTAAAGCAAGGGTGTTTGTTTATGTTGTTTCTAAAGAAAAGAATGAAAATATCTCGGGTTGAAAAACAGGAG